GTAACTTATTACTTTGAGGACAAAGCATAAAAAAAAGTTTCCTAATTTCTTTTAAATCAAACTCTTCAAACAACAAGCACTCATGACATTGAGCTCTGTGATGCGTCGTTCTGCAAAAACAGCAAAATACACAATTGCTCGGCACAAGTAAAGAGGTTGAAAAAAAAAAGTTGATAACGTACCAAGCTTTAAACAACACTCAGGACAAACAGAAAAATTTCATTACCGGGCACTGTACGACATGCACTTTCAATGACCATAAACACGCTCCAACAGAAAACACTCTGCCCGAATGCGAAGTACAGCTGCTTGCAGTGACGCCGAACATGTCATAAAAATGTCATAAAAACAACATGAAACTGTTTTGATCAACTGAAAATGCGTCAATTTTTTGTCGCAACAGTCCTCCGGCGTAACATCGTCTTCGAGTGGCCAGGCCTCTTCAATTACAAAACCTTCACGCTGCAAGAATGTTTACAAACATGTTGGCGCTCTTTTAAAATCCATCACAACAAATTTCTGCCTCTCCGTTATATTGTAATACTATAACTGCGTTCTGTACCTACAAGTTGCAACAAATCCCTCAACGTTGGCCAACTAATTCGAGGCACCGTGTAGCTAACCTACCCAGCAGATCTGCATGTTTTCTGACTTTCCAGTCAAATTTTTGTCAATGGGCAGCACTCTAAGGCCTACTGCAACAAAATTTTAGCGTGAAAGCCTAACTTCAGATAGCGCAGCTATAGAGGAGTGTTTGTGCAAATTGTTTCATTTTGGATACGGGTGGGAGCATCGTGGAACATCATAGCATTATGCACCCCAGCAGTCTTAAACTTGCCTCACATAGCAGGCTACAGTCACAATAGTCACACAAGGGCCAGCACAGTGAATAAGCTTGAAGTGGTGGGTGTTGGGTGTTATCAAACATAATGTCGCATAAAGCTGCCATTTAAAAAAACGCATTTCCCATACCTCATATACACAGATCGTTTCTGAAGTGGATTTGGTATCAGTATCCGGGAAACATATCAATACTGATTTCCAAAGGGACTCAAATCTGCACGCTTATTGTGAAATATAGATTTTGTCCCAGCGTTAAGTTTCAACGTAGACTGACCATATGGAGTGCCCCATCAAAAAATGCACTCGAGACCAGTTTCGTTTTTTACCTCAACTCAGCGGAGCACTATTAATTGCAATAAGCAAGTAGATAATGCGAGTACCATTTAGCAAGCTCACAGACATTTTATTCCTTGTGAAGTCATGAGCTGCTTTCAAAATGTCAGCGAGCCCCATATGGCCTGCAGGCCACATGTTTGAGCCCCTGATATACCCCATGAAATGAAAAACATAGCGTCTGTCTGGCAAGTGGCAATACCACCAGACAGCAACCAAACTCGCGTGACCAAGTGATGACCTCATGAAAGTGAATCCGTGACGTCACATTAAAGCGACATGATGTTACCACATGACATCTTGTCATAATGTCACATGACATGAATGCACGTCGATATAGTCTCCACACCTAGACATGTCGTGCTTTTGCATTCATTTCGAGTAAGGAGACTTGGGTGCCTTTGCAACTTTTTACGAAAACAGAGGTAAAAAAAAAATGCCCCCGCCTCGCTGGAGGGAATCGTGAGGAAATGCGAATGCATTTCTTGCGCCGAGAGAGGGTACTGTTGCCGTCAGATATTCGCCTTCACCAACTTCTGCCATCGCATTGAAAGGCGCCCAGCCAGCGAATAGTCAAGAGTGAGGAGCGAGTGGATGGGAGAGTGGGGCACAGGGAGGAGAGAGAGCGAACGGCGAAGCACTGCACCTACCTGCTCCTATATTCTCGCACCACATGCTTCGGTTTCTTGAGGCGTTGATAAGCGCACGCGCCTGCAGCTGTTGCTATGGGAGAGGAAATGAGAGCGAAGAGATAACACCTGCCGGCGCCCAGACACCAACGCTAACAGTGCCAGATGCCTAACATAGCCCGACTAAAAAATGCATTCCCATTAAAAAGATAAAACACTGCTATTAGTGTTCCCAGGCTGTGACAGTTGACAAAAGCGTGACCTAAACTTGGCAACAACTTTCCATGGTCACGCAGTCAAAGCTAGTATGTGTGTGAAAACGCCATTGAGTATAGCTTCCAAGTTTAAACTAATGCTTTTTGCTTCACTGAGAATAGGTGTCCCATATGACATTACTTAATCGTAGTGGACATTTGCTGGAATTCGAATGAGATGTTACCACTCCAATGCATTTGTTCAGCGAGAGGCATATAATCTATGCAGTACACGATGTTCACAATGAATCTCACCAACTGGAGTTGACAATAGGTGATGTGTGCATCCAATCTAGGAGAAGAGTTCGCCTAAAAATTTTCGTCGTGGCTAGGACGAACTTTTGAAACCAGCACTTACCCCATCAGAGAGAGGCGAGGCCAAAAGTGACGCCTTGAATGTTAAGACAACTTGTACACTCTGATATCTGTGCAGTGACTCTGCCCCCCATAGTTTCAGTTGCTTAGCGACTGAAAGTTGTCTCTGAGTGTAGAATGCACAGCTTCTCGGCATGGCCTCGGAGATATAGGGGTGACACCAAGGCAGTGTGCCTGGACTTATTGTGCTGCCACAACCAGCGAAACAAGTTGTCCGTATGGGTGCTGTTTGAAGGCTACTGACGAGTTGACTGTGTGTAAGCCAGCTCTGTGGCCTTGTCCAAATTGCTGCAGTGGGTACTATATATGTAGTCAAGGGTTCGACGAAAGTTTGGTCAGGTGCCATGATGTTGCCATCACTGGCTAAGTCAAAGCGAGAGAAGACGCAAATGTTTTGGGATGCATATAAGCTCTTTGATCACACTAAAGAGGGCAAGGGCCATAACTCTCCACTTAGGGCGATGAATGGGAGAACGGATGCAGGGAACAGGTGTGGAGTCAGTTACAACTTAAGAATGAATACAAGCTTCACTATTAGAACTGCAGTGCATCCACCATTTATCTGTAAGCAAGAGAGACTTGCGAGGCAGTTTCTGTTGCAAGCACATGCACTTTTATTTTGCTGTAAATACTGCAGATATTGATAAATTTAGGGTGTGTGAATACTATAGTTTCGAATGTCAATCAAACAAATTGGTTCAACTTTTGATAGCCATTATTCGAAGTTATGAATAATTCCACTGGGCGAATATCTAAAATGCAGAAAAAGCCAATGGTGGATATTGGTTAGGATGGGGGGGGGTTAAAACGAATTCTAGCATCTTTACAGCAGGCCTTTTGTTCAAACTTGCACATGTTATCATCGTTCAAAAGTGAGCACCCGTTTATTTGAAAGGACATTATGCCATTTTTTGCACTTAGAAAAGAAATTCGCGAGAGAACTGCCAAGCCCTTAACAACTTCTTGATTGATATAAGCACTAACTTCTTGAATACTTCGATTGCATATGCCGTAGGCACCATGAAACATCCAGACTTTGACAGGTGAAACCTCTGAGAATTAGCTTCACATCTGAAATTTTTTTCATGCTGTGCGGTTGCCACTTCTGCGCTCTGAAGCATGAAGCTGCACTTAATTCAGGTATTGCCAAATTTGCTTTGCGATGCCTTCCTCTCCCCACTACTGATACGGCCAGTGAGCACACGTTTCAGGCGAGAGAGCCTGGACCCTGGTCGACTTGCATTTCTGCATCATGATTTGTAGCCTTTCGATTGACATTTGGGGTTTGACGTCCCAAAAGCACCATATGATTATGAGAGACGCCGTAGTGGAGGGCTCCGGAAATTTCTACCACCTGGGGTTCTTTAACGTGAACCCAAATCTGAGCACACGGGCCTACAGCGTTTTCGCCTCCACCGAAAATGCAGCCGCCGCAGCCGGGATTCGATCCCACTTTAGCCACTAGACCACCGCAGCGGTGCTTGTAGCCTTTCGGTACAGTCATTCAAAGCATTATGTGCTTGAGGTCCTGAGCAGATTTAATTGTTCTTTCTTTCAATTTTTCCAATAATGCCTTTTGTATTTGGTGCTATTTGGTAAGAGATGAAATTTAAGTACTTTTACACACTGAATTGAAAGTTGGTTGTTCCTACTTAACATACTATTACATTTTCCTGAGCAGTGATGTCGGAAGCTTGGCTGAAGTTTGCCAGAAGAAAAAGTATTTGAACCGAAAACCAGTGACACAGATGTGTTTCTGTATGCAAAAAAATACCTTGTGTGAAACGCACCAGAGGTGCTTTATTTCACGTAAATGAGCAAGTGCAACTGGATGGGGTACCCTATGCAAGCACCTTCCGTGTGGGACAGTGATGGCTGTGGGTGGAGCTTACCAGTTATTCTTAGGTTGTAACTAGGCTTGCACGAACATTAAATTTTATGTTCGAAGTAGATTGCGATTTGTTAGAATAATTTATAATCAAACTCAAATAGTACAAAATGCATGTTACATAGAAAAATGAGCATATTTGTCTTGACCCAGCGAACTTGCCTACCATTTTTTTAAAATTGAAATATGGCATGCATGGGAAGCAACTGTAAATAGTAGCAAGATTTTATTTTCAATAGAATGCATGCGACAACTAGTTAGATACGCGAGCTTTAAAGCTTTATTATACTTGGAGCATATAAACCAGCATAACAAGCTTTTAAACGTAAAAAAGTTACAAGTTGATATGAGGGTTATATGTTAATTTAACTTCAATAATTGTTGGGGGCTTGACACCCCAAAATGACCATACGATTATGAGAGATGCCGCAGTGGAGGGCTTCGGAAATTTCGACCACTTGGGGCTCTTTTAACGCACACCTAAATCTAAGCACACAGGCCTCAAACAATTTCACTCGAGTATGTGTGCTCATGGTATATAGCACCTCACCACTGCAGTTAAACCACTTCAAAAGGGGGGGGGGTCACATGCAGCCTAATATACACTTATTCGTCATACGTTTCAAATACTTTGAAATTTCCAATAATTGAAATTTGAACAGAAACGAATTCCAAGACTAAAATATTCACACAAGCCTAGTTGTAATTTAGAATAGTTAGTATGACCAGAGAAGGGCTCTGGTATGACTCGTACAAGTTGCTTGTAAAAGTTTAGACAAAGGGAAATTTTGTTGCAGTTGGCCTTTAAAGTAATGACTTTGCACCGGCTCGTGTCATGAAAACACTTTCGATTCCACCACTGAAAAATGCTACACGTGGTAAGCAGATGTGTTACATTGGCTCAAAGACTCCGGCTATTCAGTCAGTGACTTGAGCCTCGAAGATTAAAGCAACTGTAGAATGCCTTTGGAATGCTTTGAGGAGCACGCATTTCACCTTCATTCAGTCTGTCAACAACCAGCATTGAAAAGTGTGATGAAGGATACCCGTTTTTAAACAGCAGCAGCGATTTTTTTCTCTCCTAAACACACTGTCTTTTAAAACTTCATCGGGGATGCGCGTGCAAAAAAAGGAAAAAAAGAGTAGATGAACATACGAAAGCTTAAACATTATTTTGTTGTAAAGTTATAACAAGTTCTCTATTCGACACTAGGCTTTTCAAAACAAGCATTTTTTTTCCGTTCTTGCAGAAACATTTGTTGAAATGCCTGCAACAGTGCAAAATGCGTGTAAAACTAGAAAAGGAAAAAGAAATAAAGAAAAAAGGGGCTGCAGACAATTCAGCCAGCGCGTGTAGCAGTAGTAAAATTGCCTCTTCTTTTTTTTTCTAAAATATCGGCACTTTCATGAAGTGCCCAAACACTTGAAGGACCTCGCCTTGAACAGTGTTGACGACTTTCATGTACGTGCCTTCCCAAAGCTGGGCCCCCTTTTTCTGGACGGTCCTGAAAGATGCAAGCAACATTAAAGTGAAGATGGGTCCCTTCGTGCAGTGCAGAGGACAGATATCAAAGATGCATGGCTAGCACTTAAAAGAAACCAGCCCACAATGTGGTTATCTTTGTGTTAAACAAAGATTGCAACGTGCATACACAAATTCACAGGTAAAAGTAGTTGGGAGATCGGCTGTGGTGATAGAAGTTCAAATGATAAAAACCACTGATGGTGAGTGTTAGGCTGCCAGCTGGGTTAAATTACCTTTTCACCCCAATTCCAATTCCCTTTGAATGTCCATTAGTGCATTTTAACTCCATGCGAAAATCCATTTCCCTCCATGCTTTCAAGGCCATACCACCCCGGAAAAACATTGGACTCGGGTTCGATTCCCGGACCAGGATGAATTTTTTGGCAATTATAAAGCTTTTCTTTCGGAGAAATCCTTACAGATTTCCTTGTGGATTCATGCCACAAACTGGTGGTCGCCTTATTTCTCTTTTTTGGCCCTTCCCCCATCTTGCAGGTCTCCGCAGAACTCATTCTTATTACTGTTTCTGAGTATGGTCACGATTAAAAAAATAATCAAGCCTCTCGTATCCTTTCATTTGTCTAGCTGAGGACACAGAAAGAAACCTGAAGAATGCAGTCCTGTCCCTGTTTTATATGCTTATTTCTTCTTTAATTCAAGATATTGCCGGCCTATACTATCACCTCTGATAATGAACAGCACTACACAGGTTTCATCCCGAACGCTTGGTTTCCTGCAGTTTCCAACTGACACACACTCGCATGGCTGTTTTGTCAATCAACCCTCGCACATTATCGTACCGATGCGTTTGCGCAACAATGGCACTTCAACAGAGCGAAAATACGGCTTTGTTGGTAAACGGTCTTCGTGCGAGTACAGCGAGAAAAACATGAATAGAAGTGCGAATGATGGCACAAGGAGCCAAAGGCGCTAGAACGGCCATAGTATTTTTTGCGGCGTATTTTTTTCCTTGTTACCGAACACGCCGGTTTCCGTAGCTGCATCTGCAGGAGATGGTGAAGCCTAACCTGCAGGCTCACATGACGTGATTGCATGACAATTAGGCTCTTGCTAGCTTCAGCGATCCTTTTACTTGTAATTATGAATGAACGCACACCAAAGCACTCGAATTAGAGATCCTTAAATGGCGATTAGCACTGCTCTTGGCCAGGGCTGCAAGTACGTGCCAGGAGACATTGTAGCAACAAATGCAACTTGTCTCTGTCATAAGCAGTGGGGTGGCATGCCCAAAAGCGAATGGAAAAGTGCCATACACAGCTTTGCAATCGAAGCGACTGACACGGTAATTTCACAGTATGCAAGCTCTCGGCCACAGTGGCTTCGTTGGCTCTCCATGTGGCTGCGGGCGTTAGCGAAAGTAATCAGCGGCGAACCCAAAGACTTACCAAGATGGCTGGCCGTTTAATCTGCGATTCCCACCTATGAGCTTACACAGCAAGAGGTCGTGTAATTGCAAGTTTGCAGACTCGTGTAACATGGGCGACCAGGTTGGTTTGCGTTGCCTCCACATAGTGGACCGCACACAATTCGCAAACACTTGCAAATTATTTTCTTGCTTTTAATTGACTGCAGTTGCGTTTTGATGACACGAATTTCAAGTAATCATAGTACCTCACACCAACACACGAGTATTGTAACGCTGAGGTTTTATTGTAATTGCAGTCGAGAGGCTTTTTGCAATTGTTCAACATACTAATTTGTTATATGTGGGTTCGATACATGCGGTTTTAATTGTAGTACAATTACAATGTCCAGTAGATCATAACCTTCTGGCTTCTGTACTCTCCCGATAATCAACATTTGTATAACAGGCTAATACAGCAAAGTTATCCGCAAATTGCTCACCTGTGGAAGAACTTCAGTAGAACGTCCAGCATTTCCAAGTTTCTCTCATGGACAATGCTGCACAGGACGTTAGTCCATGCTATCACATCCGAATTTAGAACAGAATCTAGAAAGACAAAAGTGTAGTTAACAAATGTGCTCACACGACACTGTCGTTCACACATTTCGCCAATGCTCGGCCAACTGCACTTTGTTTAGTTTCAAAGTGCCCTGTTCTCCAAGCAAATACAGTGATGGCTTGGAAACGTTATCAGTCTTTTTGTTATCTGGGCAATCGCTAATCATTCTATGATGCAAATACTTGACATTCGTGCAGACTATAGGTGTCCGTACCGAAATTATGCCTGTATGAATTGGCAAGCGTGGCAAAACAAATACCGGTAGTAGTCCCCTTAAGGCCTTTTTTATTCGTGTTTTATACCGGCAATTCTGCTTGAATGTGCCCACCACTTGCACATTCTTCGTGGGGAAAAAATGCATTGTAAGTCCCCAAAAGTACTGGTGTACTTTTGGAAATACCAATCTATTCATGAATAATACTAATCTACTAATATAATACCAATATATTTACGAAGAGCACGCTATTCAATGACGTGTAGTCAAATACCCTAGTGGTGTAGATCACGGCACGCAGTCATTGTGGTTGTTTGAACTCAAAGATGTACGGAACAGCCACAACAATAGATGCCAAATGCTTTGGCATGCATCAATCACTTTGCATGACATTGCGAAGACTATGAACAAGTAAGAAAACGTACCATTGGTTGTGTTAATCCATTGCTGCAGCAAAGCTTTCACCTGCTCCATTTTCTTTTCAGAGTCAATTACGGACTCAAACGTTTCTACAGCTGTCTGTACAGGCTTAGTCTGTGGGGAGAAAAAGAAAAAACAGGATTTCAATCATCTGACAAAGTTAGTTTCCATTCAAACAAGCAGGTTAGCAATAATTTCTTATATTTGCTAATGATTTAATTAGGAATACTACTGTTATAATTGATAATTGAATTGATTGACTCGTCTATAGCCTTGTGTGAATAGTGAATTTAAGATTTTAAGTGAAGAGTGATTTGGTCGAATAACTTTGAATTGTATTGGAATAAGATATGTATGTCACATAGTATAACTAAAAATTAGGATACGTTCATCTAACCATGAAATGGGGCTTTGCGGCAGTGTGAACTTTCTATAGATAGGTGTATTCACGGTACAGCACCCCTCCACTGCAGTGAAACAACCTTTGCAGGGGAGTTACATGTGGTTTATTTGTGGTTTTGTTTGTTCATTTCAAGTAATTCCAAATTTCGAATAGGTTGATTTCATGTTGAAGAAAATTCGATGCTGTGATACCCGTATGAATACTCACGTATGCCTACAAAAAGTATGACTTTAAATAAGCATTTCTACATTTTCTGTCTAAATGTTCTACGTCGAGTGCATAGTGCCTTAATGTGGAACGAAATATTTCACCTAGAAGTGGTACAAGAAACACAGATGCCTAATTTACCGAGGCTGGATGTTCATGGTCTCTTCCTTGCCAACGGTGCACGTAAATGGCAAAATTAAGTGCACTTACAAATCAGGACGCCCTGTCGCAATGGTTTAGTAGTACCATCTTTTAGTGTAAGGTAGGCAATACGAGGCAGATGCGACGCCTACTTACCATGTACTCTTTTAGAGAGTGGCATGCCAAGAGACGCGCTTTCTGTGGGCTGATGCTGCCTTTCGGTGGCCGACCTCTTCTCCTTCCCGTGGGCTGTGCTTTCGGCTTCGTAGACGCTGCTGACGATGAGGCCCCGCGATGATTGTGGTTTGAACTTTTGGTGCTGCCGACACCACTAGTGCCGGCTGCTGTGTCTCTGCAAGAAGAGAGAAGCATTGAAGCACAAATAGGATGTCCCCACATTTAATAAGTACTGTATGACACTCAAACCTTATAACAGAGCTGCATCTTACACAAAAATAAGTTCGTTATATCCAAAAATTCGTTATATTGGTATATTCCAACAATATATCTATTGCAAGACTATTCTTAATTTACTTCGTTATAACACATATTTCATTACATCCAGGTTTCATTATATCAAGGTTTTAGTGCAGTTTGTTAGACAACAGGAAAACCTATAGTATTGCTGGATGCCAGCACAGTCGGTATACTTTGTGTGCTGTTACTCCTTGCATCAGAAAAAAAGCAGTATGCAAAGAAATTAATTCGTTCTCAATTTTTTGAAGAAAAAACAGAGTAGGTCCTGAAACAGTGGGGAAAAGAAAATGTCTTTTTCTTTTCTTTTTTTGTACAGCTATTTCAAAAGTTATGATTAAACTAATCCAAATAGACAGGGAATTATGTTGAATTGTTTAGCTTCGAATATATTTTTGCATTGGAAATGGACATCCTCTAAATGAAATAGAATAAATGTTTGAAGTTTGCTCATATTAACACAGCCCAGGGTGCTTTATGTCCATTAGAGCTTTGCAAATATCAAAACTTTGGGTGCGAAGTGGATTTGAACACTGAAGTGTGAGTGCAAATCGAGTCGAAGGCTTTTAGAATTTTTCTAGAATTTTTTTCTCATTGTTAGAAGTAAAACTGCAGGAAAAAAAAGCACGAGAGTATTGCTAATCATATTCTGACGAGATATGGCAACATGAAAGTGTGTTTTTTTTCTCCTGCTAGGTTGATGAAGCGCTGGGGGCGTGGTATTTCATAGTTGTCTAATCAAGAATGAGGCAATTCAGAGGCCGAATCATATCAGTACGCGATTCGGTGCAATTAATGTGTTACCAACAACCCTTCATACGTGAAAGGCAAAGATGCTATTTCCTCAACCTCTCTTCTCTTTCGAATTCTGTGAAAGCCGAACTGGTGTGGCAGACAAGATGGTGCTTCCTTCAAGCTAGGACTGCCAAAGCTGCCTCATTTGATGCCAAAATACATGAAAGTGAATATTTGAATGCTAAAAATCTTCGGTGTCCAATTTTTGGGACTCGCTGCCGAAATTTCAGGTCAAAAACAGCATTAATTGAGCTCCTATCTCTGCCACATCTATAACCTCGATGTTTGGTCCAGCATTCCCTTGAGTCAATACGTTCACAACAGTAGTGGAGCTTAAAGGGACACTAATGTCAAATAACAATTGACGTCAGAATGAAAGCTCAATGTACGACAACATATAAAATGACAGTATCTTCAACAACAGTGCCCTACTTATCGAGAAATTAAGGTAAATGCACAAGAACACAAACGCCGCAGTTGGACATTTTCAAAATGATCCAAATAACATCAGACGGATTGCCTAAAATTAATCATTAGTAATCGGTCTAACTGCACTAAATAAAAAACCTTCCGTGCATCAAGAGACGCAACAAAATGCTGCTCTTTCGTTTCCGTTTGGTTCATGGAAAAAAGAACCCCCGGGACATTACTACAGGGAATGGCGCGAGTTGTTCAAAAATTCCATTTTCGCGTGGTTACAAGGGACAGGTGGTGCTATCTAGCGGGGCACAGTTGAAACAAAAATGTCTGCAATCTCGAAGCCAATGGCGAGAAATTGATCAATGGCCGTTGTTACTGCTGTGGCTCCCACTGCTTTTGGTCTGCTGCTACCAGCGCAGTAAAGCCAGGCAATGCTGTGCATGGCAACAGTGACGTGAGCCGGTCTGTTCGGTCCGCTTCTAGAGGCGGGTAATTTGGAGTGCGCTAACCCAACGCGGACCACTAAAACATGATTTTATTTCAAAATAGGTCCTGCATTGGCACAACAGTAACACTACGAGGTTTCTAGACCGCAATTTTAACAATGAACGTCGACTTAATAATTGCCTTTAGTGTCTTTTTAAGTGCAGCTTTGCCACTGTACGCCAGTGTAATGAGGTGAAGCATTAAAAATTCTTAAGGGGTTAGTTTTAAACAGACTGAAACGTTCAACCATAACAGAGCTTGCTATACAGCTTTGCCGCAAAATGGAAATGTGACAAGATGAAGCATATTAAACATCTGACCCTTTTAATCGGACATTTACTGCATTTGTCTTTGAAAAGTTTGAGCAATGAAAATTCCAGTGCAAGTCGAATAGCAAACACTATAAGAAAAATAATACAAACTTCAAGTATTCGCACACCCATAGTTTCCAAACAAAAAGTGTAGGACAGAACACCGTAAAGGCAACGCAACACTTACTTTGAGCGCAAAGGATTTCGCCGGCTTTCTCTATACATGGTGAGGACTTCATCTTTAATGTCAGGAGGTAGGCTGTCCAACACAGCTGGATCGATCTGCAAAGGATGCTTTAGTTTAGATAGGAATCATCTATGGTTGACCACTGAAGTCTCCCACGCAGAGAAGTGAAAGGACAGTTACTGTGATTTGATTGATATTTAGGGTTTAACGTCCCAAAACCACCATATAATTATGAGGGACGCCGTAGTGGAGGGCTCCGGAAATTTCGACCACCTGGGGCTCTTTAACGAGCACCCAAATTTGAGCACATGGGCCTACATCATTTTCGCCTACATCGGAAATGCAGCCACCGCAGCCGGGATCCAATCCCGCGACCTGCGGGTCAGCAGCCGAGTACCTTAGCCACTAGACCACCGCGGCGGTGCGACAGCTACTGTGAAGACCTTTCCACTGTCAAAAGTTTTGTTGTATTCGTAACAACAAACTAAAATTTTAATTACTCCCACGCGGACCTGTCGTATGAATAACATAACAACATGAGTGCCTTAGTTTTATCGTGGATTGATGTTGAAAACAAATTTAGATGCCAACATCATCCTACGTGCCAAGTCTTTAGGGTACAGTATCATACATTGGTACCTTATGGGTCGAAAAACGGGAGTTTTCTAAAAAATTGCTAAATTTTTGTTTTCCCCTGTTCAGTTAAGTAAGATTATTACCCTGACTGTTCTCAAAAAAAAAAAAAAAATGCCGAGACTAGACTGCAAATGCTTTAAAATTGCGTCTAAAAAGCACAAGGTCGCTGTTAAGAAATGTGCAGTCTTCCAAACGTTGCCACTGATAATGCACTGCTGCTTGCTATTGTCGATCGCATGAGGCGGAGAGCCGAGCCTCGCTCTTAAATAATGATGGTTTCCCACGCTGCTGCAGCGCAAGAAATAATAAAAAGAAGCAGGCTTTTGTAGCATTTTTCGAGTGCCGTGGCTGGCTATTAAATCACGTGGTACGGATCAGGGACCACCATTGGCTGCTGCGCGCCTGTGTGTACTGTGAAGCCTCCTTGCAGGGTCTGTGTCCCGTCAAGCAGTGTAGCGGAACAAAGTTTTTCTCGTGTGTTTATCTTATCATTATGGATGAAGAAAGCAGCAGCACCACGCGATATCTACACTCTCAACGTGAAAAGCTGCTGTGGCGGTGCGCTCTGTGGGAATGGGCTATGAGCAGGTGGTCTGATTAGCAGCAATTTTTGGCTTGCTCACAGACACCAGCCGGAAAGTCCCTGATGTACCAATCGATGCCATATGCGCCAATCTTGCAACGTCGAGGGAGCTCACAGTGAGAAAAGTTGGTGGGGATGACATTGCTGTTATGTACAACGGTATGCGACACAAACACGGCCACAAGAGCCACCATGGCATCGGCACTCTTGTGTCCCTCGGCACTGAACTTAGTTCAGATTTCGAAGTGCTGCCGAACTTCTGCCTAGATTGCAGTCGCCATAAGGCTCTGCTAGACGGAGAGGAAGGTGTTTGGTAATCCTTTCGTGGCTCTGTCTACGAGTGAAATGTCTGCGAGGAGTCGGCTCGAAAAAGCCGTGAGGGGCAAACTTATGGTGCAGGCACTTTTTAGTGCCAGTGGCCACTACAAAAAGGATTGTTCATTTTTGTGCAAATTTGATTGCATCTAATGATATCTTTCATAAATAAACATTGAATTTTAACATTAAAACTCGTTTTTCTCGAAACACAAATTTCCCTATTTTTTTTTTTTTTTTTCAATGTGCCCCTTCTTTTTCGGGTACTTCTGGTGCTCGGATCTGCATAAAATTTCGCCCAACTTCTTTTTCTAAGTACAAGAAATGCAATTACATTGCTTAAACTTCAATATTTTTATTATAAAATAAAAAAATCTATGTAAACCTTTGCTAGGGTAGGAGAAATATGGACTTCCCAGGTTAGAATTCTTCATGTCTATCACATATTTTTTATGCACTTCCTCATCAGTTTTCTCAATTCTACACTTTATTTGAAACATTATGAACTGTCAATGGTAAAAAATTATAGAAAAGCAGTGATGGAAAGAGGGGGGTGGCGGCAAAATGCTTAAGGTTTTCACTTTGTCATGTTGCAGAACTAAGAGTATGTAACTTGCAAGAAAACCAATTATAGATTTGAAATCAGCATAAAGCATTCTATAAGCAGCTCAAGTTTCATTGCTCTAGGGTGAATATTAAAAAAAAAAGGTGCCTTCGAATAGCATATCCCCTTACTGTAGCAGTACTAAATTTCTGTGATACAGTGAATTCTGCCACAGTTCCATCGAGTAGCACTTGCGATCACTGTGATCACGGACATCCAATAATGCGTTGCAAGTTTTCTCAACACCTCTTTAGTGCAGCTGTTGACAAGCAACACCACAAGTAAATAGCAATGTAACAGTACACGTGCAATAATCTGACTGCCTACGACTCACGAGTTGCACCCAGTCGAGATAAAAGTTCTGGGGAAAATGGAGCTCTAAATAGATCGAAAACTGCTGAACACGAAATGTCGCTGATGCCAGCAATTAGAAAAAAAAATGGACAAAACATGTCTAAGCCACGGTACCAATCAGGCCTTCTGGGGAGAGGGCCCACTGGCACCTATTTCCATTGTTTATATTCCGTAAAATAGGCCCCTTCATCAATATTTCAATGCGGGGAAGAAGGGGAGGCAGTGGTTAGGGGCCAACCCTTTTGAACGGGTATGCAGCCTGGTATCAATGAAAACATGCTCTCGTCGAAATGCAGGCTCAAGCAACGTTCCCCACGGGACAATTTTTTATCACGACGAGCTGCACCCGAGTCATAACTATCATTTGCTGACTATAATGTGTGGCTACCACAAGCCGTGTGGGTCTCCCCATAATTTTATTATTATTTTATTTTGTTTTCCATTTCTCGTTCACGATGTGGATTTGCAATGCAGAAGTTGCAGTTCGCAAACCTGCTCACCTCTGAGAACGCCGGAAGACTGACGGCCTTGGGTAGCGACTCCGTCATGCCGTTCGTTGTTCCTGAGCTCGGCCCTGCTACACCGTGGCTTTCGGGCGGCCTACTTGTCGTCAGGAAGTCCAGCATGGTCTTCACGCCACCACCTTGCCCCGAAGGCAGTGGCTCCAGCCTTCCAACTTGAATGCCCACCTACAGAAAAGCTTCAACGCTATGGCTGCAAGGTCTTTGTCTTTAGCCCACGGCAACGAATTCAGCACTCGAGCATTTAATGAAATTAAATATTCCACTGACGACCTTGTGCTGTTTTTCCCGAATGTAGTTCGTAAGTTATCTAGATGATTATAATACATTGTAAATGTGGTTTAAGACTCAACGAGTAGCAGGATCTTAGCATCACGACAGACTAAACGAGCACCTAATGCAATCCAAACCCAAAATTAACTATCCCTCAGTTACTAAATAGTAGTTGATTTCTCCTCTCCTCCACATTAGTAGTCACTTCAGGGGGACTTCTAAGTTGAGTAGGCGGGACAGATAAACAGGTCAGTAGAACACAACAACATGCAGTAGACTCTCATTAATGGAACCTGGAGGGACCGGCAAAATATGGCCCGACTAACAGGAGCTCCGCTTACTGAGAGGTGCACAAGGCGGGAAAATTCAAGTATTACACCAACTGCATTACAGCTAGTTGTTGCATATATTCTGCTTAAAAGATTTCCGTGGGTGTCGGGTGTGCAAACTCGCCACACATCGCCAATGGGGGAGAGGGGCGGAGAGTCGGTTTCGCTTAGGCGGGAGGCAAGTGTTGGCATGGCTTGGAAGGAGGGGGGGGAGGCAAGCGCACCCTGCACCCCCCTGCCGACCGCCTATGGAGAATTCCATTCACTCAGAGTCTGCCGCATAGGTCTGTAAAAACAAAGTATAACTCACGCAGGCTCACACAAGAAATGTATCTTGTGCTTTGGGCTCACTCAGACCCACCGTACTTTTTCTGAGCCGAGCTCGCTCGAAGTCACCATCCTCACGAAACTTTTTTTCAACCGGCCTCACCCAAACGTATACTCGCGGCTCGATCTTACCCCCATATTCACAAACGCCCCTCTACTTGACTTTCACCCTTCATTTGACAGGGTTGAGCACTGCGCTGCTGCTCGGCTGAAAATGACGCTGCGCTACTTAAGAATAGCAGCAAATTATCACTGATATACAGTGACTTGCCCTGCCTAGATATGGCACTACCATCGGCTTTCTTAAGTGAAGGTGGAGCGTTGAGTGAAGGGGCGTTCTAGAACACGGGGGTTAGTCTTACAAAGTCCAAGTGAGTCGACCCACGAGCGAGTTCTCAGACTTGTGGGCTACTTCATTACTTTTGGGCCTACATCCCTCAAACTGTTCATTTGAAACACAAACCAATTTTTCTAGCTTCATGACAAACAGGCTAGGCTATTAAATGTTGTTGCAGTTTTTTTTTTGCGTGGGAGAAATACAGAGAGTAAGTACATTGTGTTGTGAACTAAATGCTGGTGCTACCACGAGCGCTGCTCACCCCTCGGATGTCGGAAGCAACGAGGTGCATCTGCATGGCCAGGCTGTAGCACTCCTTCGAAATGATGGCCTTGCTAGCAGTCGCTGCCAGCAGGTGGGAAGACTTGGCTAGATTGTCGCACATACCGTGACCCATGTACTTGGATGGGTTCACGGGGGCGTCCTTCTGTCGCACCTGCGCATCGAATTGTGTGTTGCTGGCAACAGAAACAGCATGGCACATGCAACCGGCCCTTTGCGGCGCTTGCCGACATGCATTTATCGCGTGGAATGAATGACTGCTACGATAACCAGGAAACGACGCGCAAATGCAGAACGCCCTAAGTTGTGGTACTACAGTCGAACCCGGTCCTAAAGAATGCTCATAAGGTAAATTATCAGTTATAGCGAACTAAACATGAAAGTTGGTTGGTCTAGCTTCCTTCCAACAACATGTATTATTTCTATAACAAAACCGACAACATGAACACTACTTTGATACTGACTGTGGCAATGTAATATTAAAAGATAGTATAAAAAGGGAAATAGTATTTCAAAAGCAATTTACAACCAGATTTCTTCAACAATGTGGCTGTGACATTAAAAATTTGGTTAAAAATATGACCACATCCTTCTTCAAATAATTTCAAATGCCAAAGTGTTGCACCAAACTATCTTTTTTTATGTCGTAATTTCACCTTCTCGTGTTCCGGCCTGTTTGGCTGGAAATGCTACTAAGTGACTAGGTAATATATAACTACCTCATTTATAGTTTGTTTGAAGCCTAGAATAATCTGTTTTCACATCTAGGTTTTTTGCACGAGACAGATTATTGATTTTTATATTTACTATTACAACGACTATTGGTCATAGCGAACCCAACTATAGTCTCCATGCTACTTCATTAAAACGAATTTTGACTGCAGTCTAAATGAATGAAGTCAGAACTTGATGATATCATTCCTGGGCTAGTTAATGTGTTTGCAGAGGAGCACGTACAAGAGTGACAAAATAACAGCAATAGCTAGCAAAAGTGATCACCAGAAAGAAAGTAAAGCAATGCGTGCATAAGCCCACCTTGACTTTCAATGTAATGGTGCGACCTTGAACGCCAGCCTCCAGTAATCTCCTCTCAACTTCGGTAGACAGCTGGCCTATGAACTTTATCATGTCAGTAGGCTGGAAGAGAACAGAGCAGCTTCCTATATAGCCACACTATGTTTATTCAAAGATGTGTGCGGACCAACATAAAGTAAAATTGCGATCCAATTCACATGTGTTCAATTTTAAAATGCGATTCACAACACTTTGTAGACACAAGCCTTGAATATATATACATATTAATACAAGGAAACTGAGAAAGGAGAGAACAACTGAGCAATACGTGCTACGCATAAACACTGAACTACCTAGTGTGATCCTATCTACAGGCAAGGAAAATGCAAAAGCCCACATTTCTCTCCTCGAGCAAATTATTCTATGGTCTTCAACAAACAGCGCAGGAGCAGACAAAGAACAATGATGGGGACAAGCACTGACTGCCTTCCAACTGGGGATTTAAGAAGAACGTGAGGGTATGTGTGGGTGTGCCGGCAAACTCCATCACATTGGCGTGATGTAATTTACTAATAGGTAATTTGATAAAAGTAATTTACTAATACGAGAAATAGTTCTTTTCTTTCATGTCCCATTAAAAAGGAAGCCTAGGCACTTTTAATGCCTGAAGCTTCCGATGCTTTCAGCCACGACTAAGTACGGCATGCGGCTATGCTTTGCCTTGAAGGTGTTTCAAGGAATTAAAAAATTTCACGAGAACATAGTGGTGGCACTTATGTGAAGCAAATCAATACTGGTGAAACTATCAGCTATACCTGCTCATAGTTGCTGATAGTCAAGATTATAGCCAGATTTTTTTTTTTTTGAGGGTGGGTGGATAGAGGGTAAACAATGCTTTGTCTCTGTTTGTGTATGCCATTGTAAATGTGCATATTATATATATATATATATATATATATATATAAGGGAAAGAAGTGTATACCTAAGGGCTCGTTTTTCCGTGTTTTAACACAATATTAATGAGATCTAACAGACAGTAATGCCAAGGAATGTACAGGGGAAGTTATTAGAACCAATGGAATGTAAATAAAAAGAAAGAAGAAAGAAAAGTGGATGAAAAAATAACCAGCCGTGAGCAGGAATCGAACCTACGACCTTCGAATAACGCATTCGATGCTCTAACTACTGAGCTATCACAGCGGCCTTCCCTCCATCCACTTTTTTGGGTTTATATGTGAATTTAGAAGTAGGAGTGACAGTCAGCGCCATCTATAAGCCACTCCTGTCACTCCTACTTCTAAATTCACATATAAACCCAAAAAAGTGGATGAAGGGAAGGCCGCCGTGATAGCTCAGTGGTTAGAGCATCGAACGCGTTATTCGAAGGTCGTAGGTTCGATTCCTGCTCACGGCTGGTTATTTTTTCATCCACTTTTCTTTCTTCTTATTTACATTCCATTGGTTCTAATAACTTCCCCTGTACATTCCTTGGCATTACTCTCTGTTAGATCTCATTAATATTGTGTTAAAACACGGAAAAGCGAGCCCTTAGGTATACACTTCTTTCCCTTATTTCATTGAACGAGGGTCTCGTACTGGCAGACTTGGTGTGTTTAGGTTGTATAAGAGGGAAAATTAATCAGCTGCTCGCTCATAATAAGTTTACGTGCTACGTGACGCCAAACATGCGTATAAGAATGTTTTCACACTCGTTGTTTGGCTTATAGATGGCGCTGACTGTCACTCCTATTTCTAAATTCACATATAAACCCAAAAAAGTGGATGGAGGGAAGGCCGCTGTGATAGCTCAGTGGTTAGAGCATCGAACGCGTTATTCGAAGGTCGTAGGTTCGATTCCTGCTCACGGCTGGTTATTTTTTCATCCACTTTTCTTTCTTCTTTCTTCTTATTTACATTCCATTGGTTCCAATAACTTCCCCTGTACATTCCTTGGCATTACTGTCTGTTAGATCTCATTAATATTGTGTTAAAACACTGAAAAACGAGCCCTTAGGTATACACTTCTTTCCCATTATTTCATTGAACGAGGGTCTCGTACTGGCAGACTTGGTGTGTTTAGGTTGTATAAGAGGGACAATTAATCAGCTGCCCGCTCATAATAAGTTCACGTGCTACGTGGCGCCAAACATGCGAATAAGAGTGTTTTCACACTCGTCGCTCGGCTTATAGATGGCGCTAACTGTCACTCTTACTTCTAAATTCACATATAAACCCCAAAAAAGTAGATGGAGGGAAGGCCGCTGTGATAGCTCAGTGGTTAGAGCATCGAACGCGTTATTCGAAGGTCATAGGTTCGATTCCTGCTCACGGCTGGTTATTTTTTCATCCACTTTTCTTTCTTCTTTCTTCTTATTTACATTCCATTGGTTCCAATAACTTCCCCTGTACATTCCTTGGCATTACTGTCTGTTAGATCTCATTAATATTGTGTTAAAACACGGAAAAACGAGCCCTTAGGTATACACTTCTTTCCCTTATTTCATTGAACGAGGGTCTCGTACTGGCAAACTTGGTGTGTTTAGGTTGTATAAGAGGGACGATTAATCAGCTGCCCGCTCATAATAAGTTCACGTGCTATGTGACGCCAAACATGCGAATAAGAGTGTTTTCACACTCGTCGCTCGGCTTATAGATGGCGCTAACTGTCACTCCTACTTCTAAATTCACATATAAACCCCAAAAAAGTGGATGGAGGGAAGGCCGCTGTGATAGCTCAGTGGTTAGAGCATCGAACGCGTTATTCGAAGGTCGTAGGTTCGATTCCTGCTCACGGCTGGTTATTTTGTCATCCACTTTTCTTTCTTCTTTCTTGTTATATACATTCCATTGGTTCTAATAACTTCCCCTGTACATTCCTTGGCATTACTGTCCGTTAGATCTCATTAATATTGTGTTAAAACACGAAAAAACGAGCCCTTAGGTATACACTTCTTTCCCTTATTTCATTGAACGAGGGTCTCGTACTGGCAGACTTGGTGTGTTTAGGTTGTATAAGAGGGACAATTAATCAGCTGCCCGCTCATAATAAGTTCACGTGCTACGTGACGCCAAACATGCGAATAAGAGTGTTTTCACACTCGTTGTTTGGCTTATAGATGGCGCTGACTGTCACTCCTACTTCTAAATTCACATATAAACCCAAAAAAGTGGATGGAGGGAAGGCCGCTGTGATAGCTCAGTGGTTAGAGCATCGAACGCGTTATTCGAAGGTCGTAGGTTCGATTCCTGCTCACGGCTGGTTATTTTTTCATCCACTTTTCTTTCTTCTTGTTTACATTCCATTGGTTCTAATAACTTCCCCTGTACATTCCTTGGCATTACTGTCTGTTAGATCTCATATATATATATATATATATATATATATATATATATATATATATATATATATATACACACCGTAATTACTCGAAGCTAACGCGCACCTTTTTTCCGGTTAAGCGAGCTCATAAATCGCATGCGCGTTAGAATCGAGTACGAACAAAAAAATTACGATCAATCTATTGGCATCGGCAAATCCAAAATGGCCGCCCCCTACGTGCGTCGGCATGGCACGCCGGCCATTTCTGCCTATGTGCTTCCGATGTGCGGCACTTCGTACGTGTGCTGAGGAGTTCGTCATCTAGTAGTGCATTAGCATCGACGGCGTGGAAGGGCCGACTCCAAATACTCGAGTGCACCACGATGCCGCTTTTAAAAGAAAAGTCATCGCATGAGCAGAAACGGACGGAAATCGGGCCGCATCCCGGTCGTTCAGAGTTCCCGAAACGTGCGTGCGGGACCGGCGGAAACAAAAGCAGAAGATTGTCGACAGCAAAGCTTCACGCAAAGGCTTCAGTGGACCACAGCATGGTCGGTTTCCGCAAATTAAAGAGCTGCTCGGGGAGTATGTGCTTGAGCAGCGAGCGGCACAGCGGCCCGTGACGACAGAACTGCTCCAAGCGCGGGCTATGCAATTAGTCTTAGAAAAAGGTCTAATGCGGAGCCAGCTTAAAGCGAGCAGGTGCTGGCTAACTAACTTTATGAAAGGGAAAGGCTTTTCCCTCTGAAGGGGAACATGCATATGCGAAAACTTTTGTGGAGGAGTACGATGAAAAGCTTCACAGTTTTCAGAGGTTCGTCCTAAACTTGCGGCGCAACAACGGCTACCTGCTTGGGCAAATCGGGAATGCCGATCAGACGCCTCTTTACTTCGACATGCCTCGCACCACAACCGTCGAGAAGAAGGAGGTGAAGCAAGTTCGCGTGCTGACATCGGTCCATGGTAAAACTACAGAGACGACAATGCTCTGTTAGACGTCAGATGGGCACAAGCTTCGCTCGTACCTCATATTTAAATGGAAGACGCTCCTGAAAGGAGTCGTTTTTTCGAGTGGTGTGATCGTGCGGGCCAGCGAGAAAAATGAGTGCGCGTTGCAATCGATGTCTTACGTTTTTTTTTTTTTTTTTGCGGTGGAATTCGGGGGCGCGTTACAATCGAGGGCGCGATAGAATAGAGTAAATACGGTATATACATATATATATATATATATATATATATACATACATACATACATACATACATACACATGCAAAATTGAAAATTTTTGGTGGAGGTCAACCGCCTGATATTGACATCAATGCCAATAACCAAATGAGATTTCCCCCATGGCCCTTTCCCAGATTTCCCCCAGGCCCCATCTTGTGCCACATTTTCAATCATTCCCTAGCAGCCTCGTCCTACCCTGATCCTCTAAATGTCGCCAAAGTATTGCCCGTATTTAAAGACGGTGATCGCTCTGATCCATCGTGTTACCGCCCGATATCAGTTTTCAGTATAATAAATAACATCTTTGAAAAGCTACTTTCTTTTCGAATCAACAAATTTCTGGAAAAATATAAAATTTTATGTCCGCAGCAGCATGGTTTCCGTCCGGGATATTCTACTTCCACTGCATTTCAAACATTGACACAAAATGTCAACACAGCCTTAAATAGCCATAAACTAGTTTTTATTGTATTTTTTGACCTACAGAAGGCATTCAACACTATCGACCACAGCATCTTTAAAAAAAATTAAATTACTATGGCTTTAGAAACGAAAGCTTTGAATCCTTTTCCAGCTACTTCACTCACTGTAGTCAAATTGTTTCTCTAGGTGGCAACACTTCTTCGCAAAAACCGATAAGCACAGGGGTCTTGCAGGGATCTGTCCTGGGCCCTTTGTTCTTTATATTATATGTAAATGACCTACCACTGGTTATTAATTCTGCAGAGCTACTATTGTACGCGGATGATGCAGCTTTAATTGTTACGGGGGAAAATATGCAAGAAATTGAAACAAAAACAAATGCTGAACTAGCAAATATATCACATTGGTTAAAGACAAATAAAGTTATCGTCAACGCGAAAAAACAAAGTACATGATAATCCATTCCCGACATATGCCAATAAATCTAGACAGCATTCAAATAAAGATAAATAATTATGCACTCAAATGCATCAATTCATATAAATACCTAGGTGTAGTTATCGACAACCATTTCCACTGGCAACTGAATATAAAATCAGTGTGCTCGAGGTTATCTTTAGGCTGTCATGCATTGTTGCAAGCGAGAAATTATTTCGACCTTGCAATATTACGGATCTTGTACTTTTCTCTCATTTACTGTCATCTGTCCTACTGCATTGATTCATGGGGTTGGACCTACACTACATACCTGGAGCCTTCACGAAAACTACAGAAGCGCTCACTAAGAATAATAACGCACTCAAGCCACGATCATCTCAGCGCACCCCTGTTTAGTAAACTACAAATTTTACCAATGGAGAGTTTGCGTCAACAGAGAACAGCCATTGCCAGTAATAATATCATAAGGTATAACCGTCCTGTTCATTCGTCCATTCTTTGCTCCTCATCCCACACTACGAGGAATACTGCTGCCTGGTAATTTTAACCTTCCTCCCACGAAACAACGTCTATGGAGAACGGCGTCTGCAGTTCGTCGGTACCAAAATCTGGAATAGATTGCCCCAGGATATAAAATCGGCTGTTAACTTTCCTCTGAAAATAAAAAAAACACTTCCTTGCAATCCATAATGTGTCTCTGTAACACCCTTAATAGTAACAAAATTGTTCAATCCTTGTATATAAGTACCACTACGTCCAGTGAAAGTTTACTGCATAGTTGTTATTACCCATTGCCTTTCTTTTGTTTGTGTATAAAAATTACATGTTTCTGTTATCTTACCCAAGTTCGAGTATCTTAATATATATGTCTGTACAATGCCTAACCTTCTTTACTACATCCGCAATGTTTAGCACCTTGTATCCTGGTTTAATACCTTGTTCTATTGTTTTGATACATGTGCTGGACGTAGCACATGTAGACGATGCCTTGTGCTATCGTTTGAATACTGTGCCATTTTGTATCGCATCATTGGACCCTATTCTAGCCTTTGGCTATGGGTCCAAACAGTTTTTTGATCTATCATTTTGGAAACGAAAATAAAGTGAAATGACATGAAATGAAAAATGAAAAGTCTACATGACCTGAGTGGTTCACTGTTTGCTGCGCACTCCGTGGAGAAGTCAACCAAAACTTGCTGTGTTAGTGCAGCACAATGTCACCAGCAATTTATGCTGTTAATATTCTTATTCTTAATAATAACACTGTTAAACTATCCTGATGACCTGTTATTTCAATATTGTGTTAAGACATGTTTCCGTTCATGATTTCGCATGTACGCTGAGGTTGGGAATCACAAGTGCCGTGAAGTCAAGCCCTGTCTAGCATTTTCAGTTTCCAGGCCTCCATCAAGCTGCAAACTGCAGCGTCTTAACGCCGAAAGCCATACAAAAATGTATTTGCAAAAATAAAAGATTTACCTTCAAGCGAATGATTAAATATACGGCAGGACTCACCTCTTTGAAGCGAATCCCGTAGTTGACCTCCGCCGACACAGACTTGCGCAGCTTGTCGAATTGCAGGCTCCGGTTGTCGATGCCCCGAGCGTAGTTGTACAGCAGAGATGAGGTCTTGACGCCAAACTTGGCCTTCAGCGTCTCCAGTGGTAGTGCTTGGAGCTGCTTGCATGTCTCTATACCCATCTCCGACAGCTGCGTCTGCAGCCTGTAGCCAACACCTGCAGCCAAACCATAAGCCGCGTCAGATTTTGGGAACTGATGAAGTAATAAAGTGTCAAGTTTCTGTGTAACGATAGGCTACATAAAATGAGATTGCTGGAATAGAGTGCCATTTTTACACCTTTAAGTACAAAATCAAGGCATGTCATTGGTCACTAGAATAGTAAAAATTATGATTCACTGAACCAAGTAAGCTCTAGTAAATAGAGGAAAAACCACACAATAATAGTAACAAGACTTAGGAAAGTTTCTGTCATACAGCTTTCATATCTGAAAGGGATCATTTACACCACTGACAACTATCTACATATAATTGTATCATTAAGAAACAAAGAAATCCAACAAATTTTTCAGAAAGCAATGCTTCTGGTTGAAGAAAAATTTGACCTGGTCTTGGATTCCACCCATAGACCAGGACAGATTTTTCTTCTACTAAATGTTTTCCTTTCAGAGGCAAGTAAATTCCTCGCAGAACAAACCGGTGGTTACCAATTATCCATTTCATTACCCTCTGTCACGTTGCAGAATTTCGCAGAAGTCATTCACGATATGCTTTTATCACGGTTTAAGTGCTTACTTCAAAGAAACGGCACAGCACCTTTGAGAGTTTTGTACAAACCCAACGAGCTTCGAGCCATCGAGAGACTGCTTTTAGTAGTCTGAGTAATATGAATATTTTCTTATGAAGCTTTAAATATGCACAACGCTACAGATCGCAGTGGCATCGCACTGACTTTTCAGCTGCCCCATCCATTAGATGCAATAAGGGTGGGGCGACATCACTGATTTGATTGGCTGCTCGACTAACCTCACAGGTAAAATTTTCAACTTTCAAAATGAAAAGCACAAAGCAGCAAAACTTGTGGTGGCACGAGGTGACACAGGAATCAACCAGACAAACAGAAGGCATGGCTTTGTAATCTGCATGCCAGTTGAAGACCGCGAGAGATTGAGCTTAGCCACCACTGCTCAACGTTGAATTTGAGAAAAAGCACACCTTGGGACAAGGGCAACTTTTAACTGCCTCTATACTCCATTCCATACATCAAGTTCAACGCTTTGGAATCTACGCAAGATGTTAGGTCAGCAAAATGTGCAACTGTGCAGGTCTCGCCCTTAAGATTTCGTCATTGTAAACTTGGCCTCCATAAGCGGCTACAACAACTAGTTGCAGGGGCCCCAAGATGAAAACAAAGATATGCTAAGTGATCTAGAGCAATCTAATGACAGCTATACAAATAAAAATAATGCAATTTGTTTATTCTTAAGGTGCACAGCATTTTTGCTTATGACTCGGCCTAAAAACAAAACAAAAAATTTCACTACTGGTGGCAAATAATTTAACTATTCCTCTATACAAACGTATCTACAGCAAGAAGTTTTGCTAGCTTCCATAGCATCTCACGTGATATATGAAATGATGCATAGCAAGCTGAAGTGCAGTGCTTAAATTATGGTGAAAATGAATCAGTCAAAAAGCCTTGCCACATGTGATTTCAAGAAAACTGCTTCACGGACCTTCTAGCAGAGGACCTCACACACTGCACAGCAGAATGCTCAGGCATACTTCTTATTCTTCGAGTCCTCTATTACTTGCTTTAACTGGTGCGCTAAGTAGGTGAAATAGAAAACTAATCAACATATTTGAGCGTATATTTGTACAATACTCTTAGCTGGATTTCAACTGCCTTAGGGTAATTGACTCAATAAGACACTGGTAGGCTAAGTTTCAATGTCTCTACTCACCTGGAAGGTCCTTGACATTGACGGTCTCAAAGAATGCTGGAAGGTTGCTGCTATCCACAAAATGATGACCGTTTGGCTTGGCAATCCGATTGGCAACCCTAGCCACTAGCATGTTGGGTCCTTTCAAAAAAAGAGAGAGAGAGAGAGAAATTGAAATAAGAATGCAATAAGAATTTGAAGTTCAAGGGAAATAGAAGAGAAAGCGGGTGGTAACTATTATGCTTTATAGCTGCCAAAGCAGACGTTTTAAGTTTTGTCAACAACCAGCGCTACAAGCATCTCCCATGGCGCCACGCTGGCATCCTCGCTATTACATCATGTGGTACTGACTGGCTGTATCATAACGATTGTTGGGGTATCAATTCCCAAAATCGTGATATTTTCCCGCTTGCTATCTTGACGTGCTCAGTTTAAACCCACAAAGACTGTCAGCAATGCCTCTGTGTTCGAGAAGCTTCCCCAATTGTAATTGATCGTTTTGTTAAGGTATCGTACAGGACCCAAGCAGTCATACTTATTCCAAAGCTTATGCGACCACTAGTGATAAGCCTGGAAAGTTTGATGTGCGATGCATAGAAGACAGTGCAAGCTAGCGATAATCAGTTTTATCCGTGGCTGACGCTCTAGTCATTATATCAGTGTGCAGCGCGCATTCTATGCTGTAGTTTGAGTTTCCATTTTCCCGGCCACAAGTTCGGCCAAACAAAGTTTCATTTTGGACATGCCATCTCTGCCTTCGTCAGCACCACGACACTGTGACATCGTGATCGGGGGTGCGCTACGCATTGGTCTTCCTCAGAGCGCTGCGCTGGCTTGCAAGTTGGTGGTACGGCATTGGTGGTGGGACAGTGCAGTTCCACCGCCGACACCGCACTTCCATCATGGGACACCGCGTTGGAACGGCGGTGGTGCAACGTCTTGACGTGGGCGTGGAGGGGGAGCGCTACAATGCACTGTAGCAGCGTAGTTCATAGCCTCTAGATGAAGGTCCACTGGTTCAGGAACTTTCAACGCTTGCTGGACTTCTTCATGAACACTGTCGATGATCGAGTTCACTTGAGGCTACGATTCTGGAAACATCTTAAGCAGCTCTTCAGGCACGATCGCTTAGATGGTCTCGCACAAGTCATCAGTGATTTGTGCTTGAACTTCGGTGTAGTCGTCAGTGAGCGGCAGTTGTTCTGCATTGTCCACATCTCAAGTGCGTTTTCTATAGTTGTGGTATGGTAAGGAACTCGGCGACCATCACAGGCAGGTTGCAAACAAATCCTAAAAACAGTTCTTGTCTAACACCTTGCATGAGCAGGCAAATTTTTTGTCTTTGGCCATCGCAGCACCAGCAAAATAGTCGACTCTTCCGTGAAGATGGTGACGCTTTCATTTGGTAGCTGAACCCGGGTCTCCAAAGAAGCATCTCTTTTTTTGCAGACCAAGCTCGTGAAGGTGTGCAGCAATCCGCCGTGGAAATCATGTCAGGTTTGAATTAAGGAGATTCAGTTTTAAAACGAGGTTCTTGCTGAGTCTTCTAGGTAGAAGCAAGCGTGTCGCAGCTCGTTCTTGGTGCTCTAGTTGTTAAAGGCGGCAACACGGTCATATGACTCACTCGAAGTCAGGTTTTCAGGCCTTTGATAGATGAACCACGAGAAGTTGATGGCTTCTTGAGTTGGTGGAGCAAAATCAGTGCAGGTAGCACAAGGGTGGTCATTGTCACCGTGGTCGAGGTCCGGGTCTTGGTTTGGGTCTCTTCAGGTAGAGGGCTGTACTCTGGCGGTAGACCCTGTTGCCTGCGGCTTGCTCGCTGCTAGGGACTGCTGTCGATGTGTTCTTCCCGACTTGTACTAGGTTCACGGCCTTATGGGTGTGTCTGGTACATGTAAGAAGCAGCACCTTCACCAGATGTCATGGTGTTGTGACGCTGACGAAGGCAGGAACGGCGTGTCCAAAATGAAACTTCATTCGGCGGTACTTAAGGCCGGGAAAGTGAAAACTAAAGCTACAGGAAAAAGTGCGCAGCGCATTGATATCGGCGAACTGAGCATAGGCTGGGTTGCAATGACTTTTTTTACATCGCGCATTGATTTTTCCAATCTTATCACCGGTAGTCGCTTAAGCTCTGGAATAAGCATGGCTGTTCGCATCCTGTGCTCGCAATCTTAACAAAACGATCTTTTACAACCAGGATGCTTCTCGAACACAGAAGCTCGAGGTGAGCCAAGTATTTGTGACAGTCTTTGAGAAGTTTAAACAAGCAAGTCAAGATAACACATGTGACAATATGATCATGAGGGATGCTGCAGTGGAGGGCGGCTGACCAATAGGTTGCTGGATCAAATCCTAGCGGCAGCCGCCACATCTCAACCAGCTGGTGTTTCTTAACGTGCACTTAAATGTAAGTTCATGGGCCTCCACCGAAATGAGGCAGCGGCTGCCAGAATTCAATGCTGTGACCTATGGGTCAGCAGTCGAGCACTATAACCACTAGATCGCCAATGTGGGCAACTGGCTGTATGCTGATACAGTCAGTCGCTGCTGACTGTATCAGCAAACTTGCAAACAATGAAGAAAATTTCTGGGTGGATGTACTTAAAATCAGCATTATTTTCATGACTCACTGTCCGCCATTGTAATTATAAATTATCAGCTTAGTGACATGACAGAAAACACTTTTTTCCATTTGGAAGTCTACTCATTATTTGACAACATATAGTTTGTTGACATAGAGTCCTCAAAAAAAATATTAAACTGAAGTGCTCAGATAATTTTGCTCTTTCCATGGCAAAATCAGCAGCACATCTTCCTATAAATTGGCTCCGGCACATCTTGCTGGAGCCAATCTACAGTAGATCTAATGAGGTGCAATAAAAGAGAGGTGAAATTTCATGCAGATCGATTATAGAAACTTTTTATACCTAAACCCACTGATGCAGTGCATAGGGTCTTCTCCTCAATCTTTTTTCTCAAAAATTCGGCGAATTCATTTGGTGAGCAGCTGGCCTGCTGAAGAACGTTCGTGACGTCCGCAAACATCTCGTCACAACTGATGGCTTCAATGTCCAACGTGAAACTGCATGAACAAACATTTGGGTGAATCATCTTTCACTAATGAACAAAAGGTAAAGCTGTTGAGTTGCTGCCCTGGTCAGCTACACTGCAGAAGAGGTCGAGAAGAATGATACCCCTTAAGGCATTCTTGTCCTGCTAACATGATATAGACTGCCAAATTCACAAAGGTATTGAATTCCGCTATACAAGTAACTGCGTGACAGGGTTCCCAAATAAGCTGCCACTTTGCACACTACTTTCATTGATATATAAAATATAATGCACATGCTCACAAGAACTTGTGAACTTGAAATTCCCGTCCTGTTATGGCAACCCGACTAGCCTATAGAACAGCTCTGCTTCAAAGGCAAAAACTGCCCTACAGAGGTCTCACCGTCAAAAAGTTGAACACACTCTGTCGAAGAGGAACAACATTGATGCTTACCTTGCTACAACATCATACAAGATCCTGGAGACCTCATCGTAGCTTTCAAAATCGTACGGTATTGCCACTAGTCCTGGACACAGTTTTCTTGCCTGTCCCAAATACATACGACTCTTGACACCGGCTTTCCTTGCTTCATAACTACAGCTTGCTACTTCTGAACAAGACGTTAGGTCACTGCGCTCTGTTTGAGAGTTCGACGACGCAGAGCTTATGGAAGCAAGAGATGTTTTTCCATGGCAAACAGCTACTGGTTTTCCTAGTGAGAGAAAAGAAGAAAGAAGAGAACCAGTGTTAGCTTTGTGCAAATTGCATTATGGATTAAAGAAGCAACAACTACAACACATAAAGATAAATGGATGTATATACAGAGTCTTGTGATGTACGAGTCAGACTTTTGATGCCGCATTTCTTGATTTGTACCTGTTTTCGACATCCTGACAAGTCAATACAACAGGAGTACAATCTTCTTCTTCCATCATTATGCACCCAATACCCCTCACATGTGTTTTTACAGGCTTTGTGGTGGCCAACATTTACGTGCAATCATGCTTTTAGGCCCTCTCGTGTCCCTATTCATCTTACTTAGTCGTTAATGCCTGTAGTCCATTTGAGTTCAGAATTATGGCACTCATTTATAATGGCATCTCCTCACTTTGGAATGATGACTTGCATTGATACACATCCACTCAGAATAGCTTTCACTAACCACTTTTGTTCCCCCTCTTCTCTGTAATATGTTTGGGCTTTGACAGTACGGATAAAAAAAAAATTAAAAAGTGGGCTCCGATACACGCTGTAAATGTGGTTGGCCTGTGAAGCTGTGGCTAACTTGATGCAGATCCAAAAGACCGAGCAGAACACAACATTAGATGATTGATTGCAAAATTAATTGCACTTAAGCATTGTCTCTTCTTCAAGCTGCTATTTGGGAATCCTAACTACGTGTGCCCTCCCAATGACGCTATCACAATACAAATGAAATCAATTTATAGGTGGGTTCTTTTACATATGAAAGCGTAGGGCTGTTCCACCCCGATTCATATTCTACAGTTGCTACTTCCCAGCAACTGCAGTTCGTGCAACCTAAGTTTTCACTATGAGAATTATGCAGTGTATGCTATGTGCCTCCCATTGTTAAAATGTGCTTTATTATCTACAACACAATTTTGACGCCCCTATCGTGCTGTTAGTTATTAAAACAAAAACTGGGGTGTGACATGCATGCTTAATTCATATGAGAGACTCATGCGGCAAGGGGTGCATCTCCCATGTGGCGAACATACACATTTCGCCTCATTGATTGATTTGATTTGTGGGGTTTAACGTCCCAAAACCACCATATGATTATGAGAGACGCCGTAGTGGGGGGCTCCGGAAATTTCGACCACCTGGGGTTCTTTGACGTGCACCCAAATCTGAGTACACGGGACCTACAACACACATTTCGCCTCAATTCATTGAATTGTTCTCTGTAAGCTGCAGCGTGGACAGCAAAAAAGAATTCCAACGATCCAAGTCACATATAGCTTTGTTGTAAAAGTGACACCGACTAATGTTAATACTCACTGTCAACCTTTTGGTTAACGCAACTGCTTCCCATGAATATACAAACAGTGCCGAGCAAGCATCAGTTCCATGAATAGTGCTCGCAAAATGAAATGCATCAATTTACGGCTAAGTAATGCACATTCTTTAGATTCCACTGCCTTCAGCTCACGTAACATCAATGTAGTATAGGCTCATACACATACATCAGAGCCAACATCACCTATAAAGGCCAGAGACGGCAACATTATGGGGTGACATCAAGTGATTGTGCATATCACTTATGGCTAACACACTGCCAGCATGTTTCATTGTGTGAACACCGTACTTCAGTTTGCCAATGCATTGCTTTGGTGAATTGAAAGAGAATACCTATTCACTCCATTAAAAACATTTAAAAAATTCTAATTAACAGACGATCATGACTAGAGAAGTGTGAAATATGCGAGCAATTACAATCAAAGTTTCCTGCTATAAATCATGCTGTGCACCCATACTTCCATACTATAGAAATTGATGATGAAAAAAAAAAAAAAGAAAATATTTGAGCTTGAGAAGTAAACACTAACTATAGCTATGAAATGCGAATGTGCACTTCGTGGGAATTGCTTTTGCCCAACTGTTAAGCTGCCACCGAGCTTTTACGGTTAACACTACATTCTAGAATTCTCTTCCACTGAACACCTGACCTTGCCTTAAGAAAGCTTATGGCAGCACCACCTATTGACAGAAGCAGTCACTATGCTTTACAAACACATTACGGATATTGTTGAGATGCATAGTGTCTTTTCAGCTCAGCATGGGTATTCAACAGTGAGCCCAGCATGATGCAGTACATGAATCGTAACAAAATAAGTCTGTCCACACAAGAGACATGTACGACACAATTTGAAAGGAAAGTTCTTGCTATGCTTAAAAGATGTGTGCTTAATATGCTTCTCAGAGTCTACTGATATGAATGTAAAGAGCCTGCTTCCACAAATACTTCAACCTAGACAGCAGTTCACTTGGCTTGCAAAGGGTAGCTGCACTTTTATACAAGTTAAAAGGCTCACCCTGTAAACTTGATCCCAGCCTCCACATCTACTGAATGACTAGTGTCATGCACAAACCTAAGAAAGCCATTAGGAAGTTTTAGATCAGCATACACAAAGATTTGCGTACGCTACCCGATGCAGTCGCTTTCACTGCGCATGCAGCATAATGCTAACCGCTGTTAGGGTTTGCGGTCTGCTTGCAGGAAATACGAAATAGCGTGCAGCCCACAAAGCCCCTTCGTGGGAACTTGAGCATGTGTCGGAATTTGCAGGGGACAAACGCCATTCTAAAACTCGCATGGCGCCTTTACACTAACGCTATGCACGCAATGCCCACAAACTTTGCGTATGCTACTTTAAAACTCCCTATTGCTTTAATATCATGGGTAGAGAAACCTCATATTTAATCAGTAACGTATATATTGGCTTACTTACTAAGCATATGTACTTACCAACCATTTTTTATTGCATACTTCTACTGTGCTACTGGCACTAAGCGTTAATTAAAGGGATCCAGGCAAATGACTGCTGTCGAATGTGTGGATCACATGGGTTGAGATTTCACTCAACAACTTTCGGACAGGAAATCTTTGCCTATGTTAACATTTCATGAGTGATATAAGCATGTTTTAAGCCAAGCAGAGATGCCTTTGCACAACAATAAATTATGGTGGTGTATTGAAGGAGCAGGCAGCACATAACACTTTCACAGTTGCAGAATGGGCATGCTCACCTTTTAGGTGAGGCCTTGTACGCAGGCCAACAGAAACAAAAAAACAGTCCATGTCAATATGCATGATCACTTTTTCTTCACCAATGGGCACTTGCTCTCGCGAGCTTTTTGAAGCCAAATACTGTTTCAACTTTTCTATGCCCTCAAATGCACCATTGCTAAGAGCTCTCTTCTGTGCAACATAGTCTCTCAGCTTGATGCTTGCCGTTGATATATGATGCAGTCGTGACCTCCCATAAAACTGTTCGAGGAATCCAGGATCCCCCGCTTTGCGAGCTGCAACGCTGTCCTTCTTGGATTCCTGGTGAACACTGTCCTCGGCGTGGTGTACACTGTTCCTGGTGTGATCAACACTCTCCTGAGGGTGGTGAACACTGTTCTCAGTGTGACATACTGTGTGTTCGTCTTCATCATGACTGTTTTCGGAGGATAGCCAGCTGTCTTGGTCGTTGTTTTGACTCGTGGAACTTGGTGAAGGGGCAGCTGATGTTGATGGTTGCTCACACCTCACCAAATTCAGCTTTTGCTGACCATTCTTCAAATCTGGGGTGTAGAGAAGGTAGTCTTGAACAGGTAGCAGCTTCCCAGCTTGTACACTATGTAGGAGAAGAAAAGAAAAAAGGGAATGCAGTTTGAAAATTGCTTGCACATAGCAATAATTCACACACATGATGTTCATAACACATTGTGAATACGGTTCTTACTAACCTGTCAGAGATCCAATTTGGCTTGACGACGTAGTCTCTTAGGTCTAATAGTTTCGCCGGTGGAAGGTTTGTTGCAATCATGTAGCAATTGGGTTTACGCTTGTAGTAATGCTGGTACGTACCACCGTGAAGCATCATTATCCGCCTGATTTCTTCCGCGGTAGGATCTGCAACAGAACGGCTTGTTAGTGAAACGCGCATTCCAACAAGAAAACCGCGGCTCAGCCGGAGAACATTCGAGATATCGAAACATCTCGATTGTGGCTGCGACTGTTCATCGGCGAGTACTTTCGGCGAGAAACTGATGTTCAGCTAATCAAACGTAAGTAAAATCCATGCAGCGCGGGACATTTATAGCTCCCCAGTTGCGACTGAAGCGTGCTAATGATCGTTACAATTCATAACGTTGTACACGCACGAGCCACGTCACCGAGTCAATGTCGAGGCAGTCCAATCCATCAACGAGTGCACAAAAGCGAAATTGTAAACACGTGTACTACGCGGCATCACATCAATTCCATATACAACACGAAGAGCACTGACCCAGTGCAACATCGCGATATGCGATGCGATCTATAACGCAGGCAGCGGTGTTGCGAATGTGCTAAAACCCAGCCACCTTAATTGATGGCACAGATGAATACTACGGTTACGGGGGACCTACTTGTGTAGCCATTGACGAACACACTGATTCCCTTGAATATAGTTGACGACTGATCCTCCTGACTGGAGTCGATTTCGTTTTGAGCACTGTTGAGAAACTGGTTCTCCAGCTTCTGAATTTTCGCGTTCATGTAGCCTCCCTGCAAGAGATCGGATACCAAGTGTTGGTCATGTATCTGGATACTTCGAGGTCACAGCAGCTAACGAGGGTTGAGAGATTAAGTGCTCTAATTACAGCAACGTGCAACAAGTAAACAAGCGTGCTCCTTACATATTCTTCGAACCCCGTGGGGCCGAAGCGCTTTCGCCTGGACCGCTTGCCCATAGCTGCCATCACCGGGAGTCACTCATTGGTGTCGAATGGTCATTCCCAGCGTTTCGCGCTACATATGTGAGATATGGTAGGTCCGTAAGGGCGTCTGCATCTTGGCATTGCTTCAACAACTCACTATATGCGCGCAGATTGCCCCGCATGCCTTTCCGCATCCCTCCAATCCGTTCATTGGTTTTCCACAGGAAACAGGAAACGAACACTCGCGGCGCGCCATCTACGCTGGTACTCAGCGGCAAGTTTGAACACGTCTCATGCGGCAACGGACTAATCGACCCCTCACGCCTGGGTCAATGGTTGCATCCTCAGAGCAGAGAAGCATGCCCGGATTACATCTTCACAGACCGCACTGATGTCTCACGGGGAAAGATGGAGGTAATGCTCGTTTCGGTGAGTGAGTTTTAGGAGGCGAGCTTGAGGGCGGGAAAGGGGCATGACGAAATGAAATAGCATTCGACAGATGTAGTAGGCCCGGAGCTAGTCCATCGTCCCATTCCTCCTCAATTGTTGACGCCGAAGCGAATAAACAAGTTTTCACGCGATTTTTGTCATGTGCTGAGTTATGGTTATATAGATCTTCATTGCCAAGACGCAGTTGAATGCACCCCTGATGGTGAATTCGAACCACGGCGATTCGGACAACTGTTTACGTCGCGCTTTTACCCCAGACAAGCCGAGGACCTAAGGCGCAGCTGTGAACATGTCAATGCTTCATTTGCATGTTTGCATCCGTGGCAGAGGTTGTTTCGTCTCTTTTTCGTTTGAACTCTACTTGTTGGGGGGTTGTGATTAGACTTCGTTCCACCTTATGAAGAACTTTGCGCACGCCTATGGTCGTACTATTTATCTCTAATTGCTACCGCCTCATTTAATCCTGAGCCCATATCGACTACAAACTGCTGTATCGAACCGGCCGCAATTGAACTTCCGGTTTCTTTACATGCTTCCGCTTTCCCAGAAACATCGCCCCGCCGCGGTGGTCTAGTGGCTAAGGTACCCGGCTGCTGACCCGCAGGGTGCGGGTTCGAATCCCGGCTGCGGCGGCTGCATTTCCGATGGAGGCGGAAATGTTGTAGGCCCGTGTGCTCAGATTTGGGTGCACGTTAAAGAACCCCAGGTGGTCTAAATTTCCGGAGCCCTCCACTACGGCGTCTCTCATAATCATATAGTGGTTTTGGGACGTTAAACCCCACATATCAATCAATCAATCATTTCCCAGAAACATCAAAGGCGGGCGCAGTGTTCTTCATGAATGGAGTGTGTGGGGGGGGGGGGGGGAAGGGGGGAGACGAAGTTTTGTAGCAGCGTAAGGCCAACCTTTCCCATCCCAGTCCTACTGGTGTTCTTACAACCAGTACGAAGACGACATACTAGCAGGGGAGGGGAGGGTGGGTACGCAACCCTTTGTGTTCATCCCGCGTGTGGTAGTGGTCGAGTTCATCTTTTTTCCCGCCAAATCGCAGCGTTCCCAAATGCGCGCGAGTACAACCCCCCCCCCCCCCCCCTCACCCCACAACACACTAGATGAGAAAAAGACAGCTAAAAAGGTTGGGTGCATGGATCGAGTTTTGCAACCTTCACCCCCAAACGAGAAATCTGGCTCCGCACCTGTTTCACACGGGATATTCCCCTTTGTTTGCACCTCGCGTTTTTTTTTCTTTGTTTTCGACGCGCTGTCAGCGTCGTGCGCTAATAAACCGTTCAACTCTAAACAATTGTCTCGGTGGCCTGACCAATAGCTCTAAAATGTTTTTAGTAGTTACAGCGAACATTTGTTACGTTGTCGAATTAATAATACTGCACTGGCAAAAGGGGAACATGTCTTATCTTAAATGACTATTCGCAATTTCGGGGAGTTCCGGTTTTCGATAAGTTTTGGGGAATGGGTGGAGAGTTGATAGGGTGAACAAGCCTCCCGGTCGTTCAGGGAGGGGTTGAAACTCGTTTCGATTGAATACATTTTACATGTACTTTCATTTACGGTGATCCTCCCCTTACCAGCTTACCTGACGACATTCCGTCAAACCCTCATCGCAAACAGAGGCGTAGCCTGTATTGCATTTCCGGAAAGTGGGCTGATCTGAGATTTTCAGATTTGCATATATATATATATATATATATATATATATATATATATATATATATATATATATATATATATATACCCTTTGGTCAAGATTGGCACACCCAAACGCCTCTAAAGGAAAAACAGAAAAAACATTCTTTCGCCATTGCTTAATACGCATTATATCTGCGTTGAATGTATAAATCAATTCTGAATGCCCGGTCATAGCGACTTCGTTCTGTGAGATAAAGAAAAAAGAGATAGAAAACCATGCCCAGTCTGCAGGTGTGAGGTACCCTTTAGCTACACAGTCCCAGTTAGAGGGGCCGGCGTAGGGGCTGGTTGACACTCGCGATGCGCTGAATTGCACACGAAAAAAAAAAAAAAACACGGAAGGCACAGTAAGACACACACGAGCATGAACAAACAAGTTTTTTTTTTTTTGAGTGGAAACATAACAAATATGTATAGGGTGAAAGAAAAAAAAAACAGAAAGCGTGAACCTGCGCACTGCCCACGACAAGAAAGCAACCACCTGCGTGACATCATCAAATCTGGCCTTTCCAACTATCTAAAATTTCTATGTAAAAAAAAAAAATTCAGCGTCCTACAAATGTTGAGATGGCGCACTAACATAGCTGTCTTTGCGAGAATGCGCATCGTGAAAGCTTCAATAATTTTTTTCTTTCCTTACTAATTTTTAGATATCTATACGACAACGGTGTTTTCGAAATTTGGCTCACCTGCTGCAGTCGGTTGCTAAGTTACCGGGGTGACTGACGCGCTTGTAGTGGTAATCATGCTCGCGTAAACGCGGATTAATACACTCGCCAGTTTGTCCAACTTACCGATTCCCGCATGACAAATGAATACCATATACAACATCTTTTTTCACACTGTACAAACTTTTCAACGTGCTTAACAGAACATGTATATGGTTTTTCTTCTGATTGTGGCCGTTTACTTGGCGACACCACAGTTAAATTAGTTTGCGAGGCGCCGTAAGGGCCATGGGTATGCCGTGCAATTTTTTTTTCAGTCCGTGCGAAATGCCGTGTACGGAGGATATAATTATAGGCCTATATCCCTTGAATTTTCCTTTAATCCTTCGTCCGCCTTATACGTTCTGCTGACGGTTTTCAAGAGCAACGCCGCCTAGATTTCCCATGCCTGCCGGATGAGCGCGAAACGCCGGTCATCTATGGCAGCGCTGCCTACGTAGGAATAAGTCTTTTGTACTCAGCCTTCGAGTTCGTTAATTTTGGCGTTTGTTACTAATTTCAGAGGATGCCTTGTAATAAAAAAGTTGTTTGCTGAATGACAGCGTCACTTACGTAGGGTTAATTATAATTAAGTTTACGTCTTCTTAAAACTTTTTTTACGTTAATTTTGTTGCATATAAGCTCTAAAAACGTAAAAAAAACTTATTTGAAGACACCCCTACTTGAGTGGCGCCACCACCGTAATTCTGACGACCGTCGTTTCCCAAGTGACCGCCGATAATCCGGCAGGCACGGGAAATCTAGGAGGCGTTGTCAAGAGGCACCAAGCTAAGGCAGTGATCAGGGGGTCAAGGGTAATCGCTGTCCCTTTAAGTCACCATGTGGTCACACGACTTTCGGCAGCTGTTTCCCGTGCACGCACACGCCCCACTTCTTTTCACAGGTTTGCAGTGACCCGAGAAACATCGCGACAATATCGTCGGCCTTCATGTTGGCACTTTTTGACCTAGCAAAGCGTAATGAAAACTCATCAACGCAACGAAAACATGCCACAGAGTCATACAGGCCTTGCAATCGGGGTTGCAAATCGCGGTCTCTATTCGCCATGTACAGATTCGATAAGATCGGCGCCAGGCACGACCCGAGTGCAGATACCGTCCCTCTGAACAAAGAACGGATCCATGAAATTCCACGCACGGTGACTGTAGGTACATCCGCAGCAAATCCATAAAACCACAAACCCTAGTCACACACTCATTTTGGAAACCTAACCTAATAGCTCCGTAAGCGTCAATACATTCCTGTACCACAAACAACATCCCACAAAGTGAGGTCATTACCACTATATATATAAGTTTTTGCTTTTCATGATGCGTCTTAGTCCTCTTCCGTCTTGAGAAAAAAAGAACATTGAGGACGGTTGAGATTGAGTATAGAACTGATGGAACGTATTAGCGTAATCCAGCCCCAGCGCATCGCTTCATCAACTACTTTGGCGCATGCTTCAACCGTGCCGCAAGGAAACTAATGAGAGTGCACTTAACATTGGCAGTTTCAAACTATCCTACAACACCCACTCCATGTACATTCGTTAAGTTTCCACTATTCCAAAATGATTCCCTTTGTTAATCAGCGAACGGTCCACTATACGCATGGAAACGTGAACCTACCGAAGCAGCCAACTTCTGTGATGCTTTTGACATTGAAACACCCACTCTATAATAATGTTTTCACCGGCATCTTGCGAAATTCATATGTTTCGAGTGTCCGTTGCCTGTGACCACTGTGGCAACGAAGAAACCATCCGACATATCTTTTGACTATGCCTTCGCAGTGAGCTCAGCAAGTTAGATAATCAACCTCTGTCGGAGGAAAGAATTTTACAATATCGCCAGGATGCAAGGTCACAGAAGGAGGCCCTGCAAGTGATATACTGTGCTTTTTGGCAATCGACCGGCTTTTCTAAATGGTTGTAGCCAGAACGCCCTTCCTGTCTGCGTTTTTGTTTTCTTCCCGAATACACGTGCGTTTTTTTTTTCCTCTCTCCTTTTTTCGATACACCCTCTTTCTAGCCTCTATTTCCTCACCCCCAGTGCTGGGTGGCAAATCGGATGCCAATATCTGGTTAACCTCCCGGCCCTCCTCTTCTCTCTCTCTCTCTCTTACAAATTATGGCGCCTGACGCGATTCTGCGCCTTTTCCACGCGATATATATGATGCGTCAAGTATACTCCTTTGAAATACAGCTGCCGCCGCGGTGGTCTAGTGGCTAAGGTACTCGGCTGCTGATCCGCATGTCGCGGGTTCATATCCCGGCTGCGGCGGCTGCATTTCCGATGGAGGCGGAAATGTCGTAGGCCCGTGTGCTCAGAT